CTCTCACACATGGACAGAGCTCCTCAGACTGAGATCCAATCTTCGTTGTAGCCTTTTGGTGTTACTGCAAGATAAATATTTAAAAATATTCTAAGGTTAACAGTTCTTTTGCTGCAAATAGTCATTAGCTTTTGGTATTTTGTGGATTTTTTTTTCATTTGGGTTCCATATTTGCATTGTTAATTTTTGTTGTTCCTTTAGAGTTTTATTCTTTGGTGAATCAAATCAGTACTTTGATGTTTTAAAGGAAATTGTATTGTTTTATATGTAACATAAGAAATATTTGTATTCTGTATATACAGATTTTTGAGATATTGCCAAACTATAATAAACTTCAAAAAAAGCTGTTGCTTCTGGAGGACCGGATAAGCCATCTACTAGGAGGCATACAAATAACATATATTGAAGAACTTCAGCCACTTTTGACTCTTGAAGAGTATTACACTACTCTTGATGCTTTCTATACTAGGTTACTTAATAGTAGGCTACTTTTTCACCCTCGTAGTCTACGGGGCTTGAAAATGATTCTAGAAAGGTAAGCATCTGTGGGATAAGTAGACTTCACCCTTTTATTCATTTTATTCCTTGTGCTAATTATTCCTTTAAGAAATAACCAATTGTAGTATAAAGTCTCATTTGTTGCTTTTTTATTTCTAATGCATTTCACATTTTTCATGTTCTGTTGGGAAATCTTAACTGTCTCCAACAAGAAATAAAGGTTGCATGACTTGTCAACAATATGTATACAGTAACCATAATTCTGATGATGGTAATGAAATCACGGTTATCTGTTTCTAAATGTTTTAAATAACTTTGCTTGAGTGGTTAGTTATGTGGAAGAAAATTGTGCCCTTTTGATAGGAGGACACTTGTATCTTTCTAAACTCATCTTTACTGTACTTAACTTAGGTTGTTTGTTCATTCTCTTGGGCACACAGTCAGCTTTATACATGGGTAGAAGCATCCAGTCTAGTAAAGACAGAAATCTTACACAAGGCATCTGTATTTTATGATATGTTTATACGACCAATGTAATGTGATGCTTATAAGAGAGCAGTGGGCTAGAACTCATTTAAAAGCCAGCTTTTCATTCCTGTACATAGCAAACTGATATAGCAGACCAGGGTACGTTAATATGCAAGATCATTACACAGATTTAGACACAGGATTCCAGAAATACAGTTAGTGTTTGAAAAGGCAGTGCTGAAAGTAGGATTTTAATATCTTAATGTTATTAATCTAATTTAGAAAATCATCTGAAATCTATATCTTTGTTTAAATAGCTGAGAAACTACCTTGAAAAATAGCTGGTTTTGTGAATTAATAATTTATCTTGAGTCTGCAGAAAGGGATTAAATTGCATCTTTTTAGTTGTCTTTGCAGATTCATTCTCCTGTAATCTGAAATTAAAACACTTATAATGAAATAATATTTCATCCTTATTCATTAAACCTTTAACAAATAATTATTTTCAGCTCATTAATTCAGAATTCTAACCTTTAAATTGCCTTACCCCTTTACTAAAATATTTATAATTTTATAACAGAGGATAAGTAACAAGATGCATCTGTGTTAACTTTTTATGTTTTATTATAGTGATAGGTATGCCCCAAGCTTGCATGAACTTGGACATTTTAGCATCCCAGCAGTTTGCGATCCAGCAACCCTTCAATGGTTTATTATTACCAAAGCACAACAAGCAAGAGAGAATCTGAAAAAAAAAGAAGAGTAAGTATTCTTGTCACATTACAGCAGTAGCAACATTGCATTTTTTTTTCCTTTAGGTTTCTAAGAGTGATTTTGCTGCAGCATGCAGAGATTCAATGATTGCCAAAATGAAGCATATTTGGAGATATTTTCTAATACAAGTATTTTTTTAACTTTTTTTTTATTTGGGCGACTATAGAAACAAAACTCCAACACAGGAGCAATATACAAGAATTGAATGAGATTGATATTATTGCATCTTTACAAAGTTTACAAGATGTAAATTAGAACCTCTACTTTCAAGATCATAATTACATATGTAAATATAGCATTAAGTAAGCTTCATTAATATTTAAAGAAGCTAGCTATAACCTCTGGCTTTGTCCTCTGTATAGGTCAGGAATAACATCCATATTTCTAAGTCTCTATCAGTCTTGTCTCTCTCTTCTAATAATCTAATTCAGGGTTGTCCAATTCATGGCTGATCAATACATAATCTAGCAACTAAAAACAAGAAGAAAACAGGAAGTAAAAAACCTTTTCTTTTTTTTTCTTTTTTTTTGCACAAAGTAAACTTCCTTTACTGAGGCATTCAACAGATAAACTAGCAATTCCAAAGTGTTACTACTGTGGTTACTTCCCCTTAGAATATTTGAACCTCTGGTTACAATCATGACATATGGAAAAAGGAGCCTTTTTCTGCACAGCCTCTCCAGAATTCTGCATCATCATCAGAAAATGCGCATTGGATCCTAGTTGGAGACGGGTACTGTCTGTGGAGTATTGTATACAGTTTGTCTCAAACCCATGGAAAATAAATACCCCTGTTCCCATATTTATCACCATTGTACATACCAGTATTTTAAATGTTACCTTTGATACTGTTTATTAAAAAACCTATAGGTCGTCAATATGGATTAAACCAGCAGTCAGCAACCTTGTGCAGCTTGGGTCAGAGGTGGGTAGGTAGGTGGGCACTAGGACAAGGCTGCTGTTACCACTGCTTCTCCCCACTGTGGCATGGGGAGAGCTCTCCATTGCCGAAGCCCACTACCACTAAACACCACCAAAGCCCCACATCTGTGAACCAAGATCAAAAAGTCCTTGGGCTGTATTCATTCTACAGGAGGTAGGTTGCCAAACCCTGGCTTAGACAGAAATTTGTTTTAAAATAGCTGAAATTCATTTCCTCTTACTTATCTGGCAAGATCTGAATTAAAAATTGTGATCTTTCCCCAGAAATGTTTGGGAAGCAAAGTAAGAAATGCAGCTCTGCACTCTTCATATTTAATTGGGGAAAAAATCAAAACCCAGTTCTTCAGTTTGCTTCCTAACATTTAAAATTCATCTTACATCATAGGACTACAGACTAAAACATCCCTTGTTGCCTGTTCAGAGTTCCAGTTGGCTTCAAAAGTTTGCAAATGAGGAACTTGTTGGGGGATCGCAGCTTAAATCTGTAGAGGTACCATACATCTGTTTGGTATATACATCCATACATCTGGATTTTGGGGGTTCTTTTAAAAAAGGCATTTCTCTTGTCCTTTAACATTGTGGGCATTTTGGTATATTCTCCAAAGTAGTGGTAGAGAAAGGGGTATTGTGTATCAACTTTATGGAACATATAAAATGCTTAGAAGTACAGGTTTGGAATGAGTCACTTTTGTTCATTGCTGATGCATTCACATGTACAGTATAACTTCAGTCAAGAGGGTGATCAAAAAATAAAAGTACAATTTTTCTCTGGTCTTTTAAAAGATATATCTACGTACCTTCGCTTCTCAGAGAACCTGGATTTTTGTCACTTTTGCTTTTTGTATTCCATTTTGTCCAAGGTAAATGGAAAATAATACTCTCTGAGTTTAGTCCTGAGTTTAGGATTCTGTGTTCCTCTTGAAAGAGGTAGAATATTACTATCACCTAAAATACTGCAGGTGGCTACACTTTTTTTGTTTGATATCAAATATTTTAGATCACCTGCAGGATACTGAATAATGGCTTTGATAAGAGGATAAAGAGGAATTTATTCCCAATAGCTAAGCTTTTAAGTTCTGTTTAATGTCAAGCATTTTGATCCTTAAGATACTAGGAAAATGAAGCCCACCCTCCCCCCTCCACTCACACATTTTCCCATCCCCTTCCCACCAGCCCCCCCAGGTGCCTGCTCCACAACCACCACCATCCATACCACTTACCTTAACCTTGCAACTCTGGCTCCAGTTGGAGCCCTACTCTGGCCCAGTCCAGGGAGCACTTGAGTATGTGCTGCCTTTGGCCCCAGTATGGCCAGGCAGCGGCTGTTGCAGTGGTGGCAGCTTCAGCCCTAGCCCCAGAGCTGGAGCCAAAGCTGCTCACCACCAACTCCTTCCCCTCCCCCCCTCCAACTTCTACTTGAATCTGAGATAGAGGGACTTTTCCCCATGGGGGGCACACCTTGTCTTAGATTCAAGTAAAGATGGTAAGTTACAAATATTGTAAATATATACGTTACCAATATACAATATCCTGAATATGGATTAAATCATTTAATCTGTAATGTTTCCAAAATGTGTCCTCCATTTGTAAGTATGTAACTTCATTTTTGCACAGAGTTCATATAATAGTGCAAACAAATGTTAAAATATACACATACAAAGGTCTTTTCAGTATATCTAAACATGAAAATCTTGAAATCTTTAAGCATTTTTGTATATACATATGTATAATACTTGTATCTTTCAAAAAAGATTTTTAAAAGAGGCTAAGCACTAATTTAATCATTCTGTTTTATCATTATTTCTGTCTGCTTTTTTTATTATACCAGGCTGATGATGATGGAAAAGGAGCTAATTAGTACTTCCACTGAAAAATTTTCCCTGAAACAGCTGTATAAGGAGCCCAGTGTTTCCAGTGCACAGATGATAAATTGTTGTAAGCGACTGCTAGAAGAATCACTACCATATCTACAAGGCATGCACCTCTGTGTTTCACACTTTTACTCTGTGCTGCAGGATGGAGATCTTTGTATCCCTTGGAACTGGAAAAGCTGAGGACTTGTCTGTTAATGATATGAATTTGTTTATTTTCTGTAAGAAGCTATAAATGCAAATTAGATTATTTTTAGTGTAAATTATTTAAATCTGTATTTTGATATCAGTATTCAACCCAAGACTTTCTTTAACTGCTGCTCAGAAAATAGGATTGGAGTCCTAGACTGTTGTTGAATAATGTCCAGTATCTCCAGGTCTTGCACAGTTTCTATACTTATCTACAAATCCCAGCATGGAGTAAGGGTCATTAAAAGGATATTTTTTATAGTAATTTAAGCAAAACTTTTGAATTAAATCTGAAGGTTGCAAAAGGTTGCAAAAATGTGTGTGGATTTCTTTTTAATATATATGTATGTGGCTGTCCTAGGGTGTATATTCCTAGATATGAAAGAGATTGTATGTACCTCTAAAAATAGGTACTAGGTATTATCTATACCAGAAATTACTGAACTGAAAAACTGAAGTACTAAACTGGGGATAGCAAAAGCTGTGGAATTAATAATTCTCAGTTATTTCATATATCATTAGTTATCTGGTGCCAATATTAAAGTTTCATATTGCAGTAGAAAAACAAAAGGGCAAATCATTTAGTATATTTTATTTTTCAAATAAAATCAATACTCTGGTTTTTGTTTTTCAGGTGTTTATTTTAAATATCAATCTAATAGTAACTCTGAAGAACATCTACTTACACTTTGCAAATATATCTCAAAATATTTTTAAAGTGATTGTCACTGTACATTATTCTTATCTTCTTACTTGCTTGAGTAGCCTACCTACAGTCTAGGGAAGGAAGGCATTTATGTTAGGATTATTTATAAATAAAGTAAGTACTCAAGAAGGTAAGAGATTCAGAAGACATTCCAAAGGGTTAGACACACAGGCCTTGGTAACTTGAATAACATGAGATAAGATTTGAGAGCTGATTTCCTGAGAGAACATTAGCAACGCTAGAAAGTTCTTGTTTCATTGTAACGCCCATTAAAATGAAGTGAATTGAGTTCCACCATTTTTGCAAAATCAACAAAAAAGAAATGGGCAGTTGACATGTTTAGACTTAATCTTTGAAAACAGTTAAAAATAGTGTAAGCAATAGAAAAGGAATTATATGATTTCTACATATGTCTTGTTTGTTACAGGCAGAGATGTTTTTAAGGTTGTCTGGCTATACCAATTTTTAATGTTGCCAAAATTAAATTGTGTTTGGACTAACATTTTCCATGCTAATTGTCCAAATTCACCTACAGACTAATCTTTTTATTAACATTGCAGCCTGAAAGGTTCTGCTATTTTGGGAACGAGGTTAAGGAAAAATCTATTTGTTGCTCATTTAAAATAAATTTTAAATAAAACGCTCTTAAGACTCTTTGAAATACTTTAGGTACACTAAGAATGTTAGCATTTGAAATGGAGGTTGTGCTTTGTGCTTCAGATACCTTTTTGCCATCCTTGTGGAAAACAGCCAGATCACATGTGACCACAACAGGAAGTGAAGGGAGAGGAACTGGGATTGGCTGGCCAAGAAGACTGACAGGAAGGGCAAGCCTGGAAGTGAACTAGAAGCTGTTTGTGTGGGGTGAAACCTAGTCAGCTTGGGAAATGAGAAACTGGTGGAAGCTGGGACTAGGTGGGAAGTGGCACTGGACAAGTTGGGAAGGGAGTAGTGAGATCTGATGATGGAAGTCTGGGGAGAACTGAGGCTGGCTGAGCAAAAAGGGTAGGACAAGGAGACAAGGGCAGAGGCACTAAAATTCAGATTGTCTCCCAGTCCAGACACTCTTCCCTGGCTCCTCATTCCGTGCAAGGATGGAAGCAGATCAGATGAGAAGCTGGGGGTAAGAACCTGGGCCTGAATGGACAAAGAGTAAGGGGCTGGATGCTGGGAAAGGGAAAGGTTGTGGGCATTGGGTGGATGGAGATGAGGCTCAGTGCTTAAATCTGAGGGGACGGCTGGGACTGGCTATGCAGGTAGTATGGGGAGGACTCAGATGAAGATTGTTTGGAAGGGGTGGGGACCAATAAATTTAATTTTGGGAGGAACAGACGGAAGTCTGTGCCCATCAGGAACATACTTAACTTCAGACTGGAATCAATCCCAGGATTCCTGAGTCTTAGTTCCACTGCAAAATCCACTGGCGGAGTGTATATCTCATCTTCTAACGTTAACTCACGCAAGAGCTGAAAATCAGTTATTACTGTTGGTTACTCTGTTAGATGCAGTGGCAGAGGTTTGTGCAGTGACTCAAAAGATTCCAGCTATGTTGGTGACCTATGCTGGTGGGTGTCAGACCAAAGGAATTTTCACTTGGTTCACTTTTTAAAACAAAAAAAAATGTAGGCAATTTCAAAAACAATGTTGAAAGAATGCTACGATTGCCTGTGCGACTTTAGTTTAGCCCCATAATAGGCACTCTCATAATAGAAAGGCACAAATCAACTTCTATCACTGCAAACTTCAGTCATTGACTTTGCAGCCTTTATGTTCTTTTAACGTCGTTTTTTTGTGTAGGATAAATGGGACATCCCGATAAACAGGATATCCAGGGGTCAAAAAAAAAAACAGGAAATAAACTGGAGCAATGCACACTCAGCGTGTGCTGCTGAAAAGGAGCTGGCCCACCCAGAGGTGCGCTCCACTGTCAGCCAGGCTCTGCATGGCACAGTTACTACAGCTGCAGCCCCTGCAGGACCCCAGGTAAGACTGCTGGGGCCAGCACAGTGCTGGCCTTAGTCTCCCCTATCCCACCCAAGGTAACTTGCCATGCACCAAAGTGTGCAATGCATGGGCATTTCTCAGGGGCAAGAAGCGGTGGCACAAGGTGTGCCACCACTACTTGTCCCCAGGAAACAAACATCCACACACATCTGGAAGCGCCCATGGAGTTTTAGGTTGGATATTAGGGAAAACTTTCTCACTAGGAAGGTGGTGAAGCACTGGAACAGGTTACCTTAGAGAGGTGGTAGAATCTCCATTCTCGGAGGTTTTTAAGGCCTGGCTTGACAAAGCCCTGGCTGAAATAATCTAGTTAGGGATGGTCCTGCTTTGAGCACAGGGGATTGGACTAAATGACCTACTTAGGTCCCTTCCAACACTAATTTTTTATGATTGAATGATTAAAAGCATACAGATTTTCTAGGAATCATTTTGCCTGACAACTATTACACAAACACTAGTGCATTGAGTTTTCCTGTTGTTTTCAGAATCAAAAATTCACTATCACAAATATATTGGGATCATATTTTACTTCATATATTTTGAATATTTTAGCTAAATGTATGCTAATGTTTCACTGTATTTAGTGGGAATGGTGAGCACTTGGCTTCATATGAGAATGACCTTCAACACCCATGTTACTGGAGATATTTTAATAGTATTAAATTCCTGCTTGTTCCTATAGTCAGTTACTTTAAAATGAGCTTAGTAAGAGGTTTTGGGAAGTGTTTGCTTTCAACAATAAACTTTAACATTTAACAAGGTTAAGTTGGTGATTTACTATTTTTAATCATTGATTAATGTTTGGCTGAGACTTGAACAGGGGAGGGAAAGTTCTCAAGAATTTTAAATAGTTTAAATAATTTGAAGGAAATGTAGGTAACAATTCTGAACTCTCAATCATTAATTCAAGATTGAAATGGGAGGTGGACCATGCATTACAGATTATTAAGCCAAGACACTTGGACTATGTTGTTCTGGCTTCAAGAAGCAGTTTGGATTTTTCCAAAACTGCAGAAAGAAAATTTTAAAGAACAGAAGGAACTGTGATTAAAACAAAAAAGGGGCATCAGCTTGTAAAAAGTAACTTATTATTCTGATGCTGTGCACAACTGCAGCCTTTTGAGAGACGTGCTTTGGCTAACACTAACATATAAATGTTGATAATTATATGTATAGCCTTTTAAAGAATTTGAAGCCATTGTTCTCCTGGTGTGAAATGCTAAGAAATTTTCCAGTGTTTAAAATGTTCTCTTTCTCTCCACTTATCCCCCTCCCTCCCTGTTTTGACAGCTCAACACACTACGTTCTTTGTGTGAAATGGTTCTTGCCCATGTTATCTATTTCCGGCTTTCAGCTGCTGTGCTACATCCTGAGTTTGCATCCATTTATGTTGTATAAGGTACTCAGTGTATCAGTTTTGAGTCGTGGTAGGATAGAACAGGAAAAAAGATAGAAAGAAGAAAGTCTCTAATAGAGTAGTTGCTGTTACATTAATTCACACGTAGTATACAGTAATGCTGTAGCTGTAAGGGTCTAGAAATAATGCATGAAGCAGGGATTTCTTAGCGTGATATCTTTTATTGAATTAACTATGCTGTTGGGCTAGAGTTAGACAAACTTTCAAATGCAACACATTCTTCATCAGGTCTGGGTAGTAAGAGCCAATGCAGCATAGGAGAAAAAAAAGTTATAAGATGGAGAGAGAAATTCCCAGGGGTAGCGGACAATTAGCAGAAGAAAAGAAGCTAATTGCTGGGAGCTCAAGGACTAGCAAAAGGGAGGAGTGTTTCTGTCATATTTCATGTGCAGGGAGATTTTGGGGATTGGGTCAATGTTCCCTCTAAGGTATAGCGATCTGTGAGTGTGCCACTTGGGTCCATGAGCTTCAGTCCCACCTCCCCCTTTTGCTAAGCCTGGATCTGGACTACACTAAGCCTAATAGACTAGAATCCTCATGTAATGGATCCTCATGCAATGGATTTTGCAATAATCCTCCAAGCACAAGACTGGGGGCTGGGGAGTGGAGCAGTTCCCCAGAGCCAGTAATGGGGAGTCCCCATTCATGATGCAGAAATCTTGTCATGTTTGGATAAGGTACTTTGGGTAATTGTGATATAATTTACCCAAAGCACCTTGTCTGCCTATGTCTGTAAACCAACACAGTTGTAACCAGCACCCCCAAACTACATCATGCTTAGGAACAATTTCTTGCGCCTGCTCCTTTTCCTCTGATGCAGACCCAGGTTCAGCACCATCCTGCTGTGCCCCGCGCATCTTTCCCTGCTGCAGGCAACCAAAATGAACCCAACTGTGGTGCATCAGGCTGTGTAAACACTGTTGCTGGGACAGCAACATGCTGTCTGAAGAGGAGTGAAGTGGCGGGATGCACTCTTGGCTGCCTCGAGCCACTGCTGCCTATAGCATTTAATCTGAGAGCCGGGGAAGCCAAGCTCCACACGTGTCCCTGCTCTGGGAGCGAGGAGGCACATGGACTCAGGGCTAGGGAGTGTATCAGTTCCCTGGAGGCATTGGAGCCCGTCCTGCCCCCACCTTGCCTCTGGGAGTGAGGAGGCACATGGCCTTGGGCCTGGGGAGCAGAGCAGTTCCCCAGTGCCACTG